ATGGCGAGGTCCAGACGAGCAGCTCCATGTTCAGGAAGAAGAGGGAATATCTGGTGCTGACCGAGAAGCATCTCATCCGGTTCAAGAACCACGCGAAAGCGATCGAAGCATTTCCTGGGTGCGTTCCAGTGTCGACAGTGGCTCATACCAAGACTAACAAGCGCAGGATACCTTCGCCGAACAACCGCATGAGCTACTACCGCCACAGCCACAGCCCCTCAACCGGATCGTCCCACGAGCTTCAGTCTATGGCTTCAGAATCGTCTGGAGACCGCCACCAAGGCATACCCCTCCGCCATATCGTTGCCGTATACCATCTCGACGACGGCCGGCCGCACTTTGCGCTGGAACTCTATTATTTGGACGACGAGACGAACAACGCCTCATCCATGACTCTGCAGTTCGGGGACCCAGAAGAGATGTTTTCATGGCTCAAGGCCATAAGAGAAGCAGCGAATAGAGCACGGCTGTCTGACGCGAAGCCCATCTCCGCACACAACTCCCATCTGGCTGCGCGTGTCGTGGAAGCAGAGCGCGACTATGTACCTCCACACTACGCCATATACAAAGTCGTTCTCCGACCGCAAGGAAAGACAACGACGCGAGCCTCAACTGATGATCTTGCCAAAGTTTCTGCTTCAGTATGTTTCCTTGCTATTGGTGTGCACAAGGTGCACATAATTCCGCTGTTCAAACCATCCTCACAACGGTCTTCCAGTCCATCACTGGCCGCTCATAACACCCAGTCGTCCCATGGTATCCTAACGCTGACTGAAGTATGCGTGACCGAAATTGACGATACATTCCAGTTAACCTTCCGGTGGGTACCCTTCTGCGCTATGAGAATGCCGCTAACAGCACACAGAAAGCCGCTTGAACGTCCCAAAGTCCTCCATCTGGCGTCATTAGCTTCGCGGGATATCGCTGTCCGTCTGCGATCCATAGAAGCTAGTCTCAGACCTGAGTGGGAGACGCGACCTTTTGACTTCCTTGTCCCAGATGAGGTGTATCATGACGTCGCTCGACAAGAAAGCCCCCATCCGATGGACCAAGATTCTTTGGACAGAACCTTGATTGGATATTGTGTTGCTTACGATGTACAGCCAGAAAACATCAGCTATCAGATTACCTACCCTGCAGAGGATGCACCACGATTCGAGCTCCTACCACCGGTTGGACTGCGCAGAGCCCAGTATAATACCCTCGAGCTGCTCGCCGTCATGCGTGCCTTGCGCTACAACGAGACCTTTGGCGGTATCTCATTCAAAGACGTAAAATTGGATGTTTTGAATGGACTCAAAGATCCCAACGGCGCTGAGCACCTTTGCCTCAAGACAAAACGCGGCACGTATGCGCGGCTGGACATTGAAGAACTGGAGCGGTCTTGTCTATTAGTGCAAGAGATCCGCGCTCTGGCCTTGACGAACCGAAAGCTGCGGAGAATGGACTTTACCTCATGCATATCAAGAAAACCTAGAGACCACGGGGAATCTCGAGGCAGTGCGAGAGATCAGGGTTGCGGCATTGTGGAAGCCCTGTTTCCGCTGTGCAAGTACCAGACCACCAATGTTGATTGGATAGCATTGAACAAAATACAACTTGGAGATACAGATTTGGATTACCTCGTCGCGGCGGGTGTTGAGCGAGCTTGCCACTTCCGTGGACTTGAACTGAGTGGGTGCGGTCTCACGGATCGGTCGCTCTCTCTTGTTCTGGATGCGATTCGCGCGCAGGAAACTACACTCGAAGCTTTGGATCTGTCGTCAAACCCCTTCAGGTTATCACCGAGCATGTTCGATTCTCAGATTGGCGTCTTTGGATACCTCACGCGACTCAACCTGTCGCATGTTGCGCGCTCATCGGGTCTTGAGTCGCTGATATCGGTCGAAACCTTTGCGGGCTGGAGATTACAGGAGTTGATACTGAGTGGCACCTCGCTCAACTCCGCCATGGTCGACGCAATAGCTGGGTTAGTTCTACACACTTAACATGCTGCCATCCCTGCTAACCACCGCGTAGTTATCTTGTCAACTACAAACAGTCTTCAGCTCTCCGTGAACTACGATTGGATCATTGCTTTTTGACTGGAAGTGACATTGCTTACCTCTTGCACTCAATGACCGAGCACCCTGGAAAAGCTCGCGAGTTACATTTGGATGTCAGTGAGAACAACATCGAAGAAGACCTGGACAAGTTGACCAGGGCAATCTCTAAAGGTCTCGCCCCATCCAACTTCACCCTCCGCCTTCTAGAGTTCGAAGAGGACGCCGACTTCCGCAAGATGATACTTGCGCTGGCCGCCAATAACACGATTCGACAACTGGATATCTCACGAGCATCTTTACCATGCGATGCCTCCGAAGAGACTTGTCAGGCGATGGAGAAGATGTTTGCTGATAACACCAGTCTTGAATGGCTTGACATCTCCGGAGAGGACTCCCGTCTAGAGACGACCAAGCTCGGTGTTGGCATCAACCGAGCACTACGGGGTTTGCAGCGCAACAGAACCCTGCGCGCCTTGTACATCAGATGTGAGTTGACATGCATCCATACTCAATGACAAACGACTGACAGCACTAGATCAAAAACTCGGCGTCCAAGGCGCCAGCACCCTCGCCGACGTCCTCAAAGTAAACACTACCCTCCAATACCTCTACTGCGAAGACAACGGCATAGCCCTAACCGGCTTCACCGACCTCGTCAATGCCCTCCACCGCAACACAACCCTCCTCTTCCTCCCCACGATGCAAGAATCGCGACAAATGGCCCTCAAGCAAACCGAAGACCAAGTAAAATCCATGCGCGACGACGTCTCCCTCCCCACGTCCTCAAAATCATCCTCCGTCCGCAGCCGCCTCACCAACCGCGTCGTCAGCGGCAAGTCCTCCAAAGAACCAAACTACCCCATGGGCCTCTCAGACCAAGACATCAAAGCCGCCCTCGGCCTCGTCGACGAAAGTTGGGCCCGCCAAGAATACAGACTACAGCAATACCTCCAACGCAACCACAACCTCGCCCACGGCATCCCCACCGCCATGGACGTCGACGAAGAAGACTTTGAGCGGCCCGACACCGCAAGTTCTCTCGGCAAGATCCTCGAAAAAGTCACCATTGAAAGCACGCCTACACGGGAGAAAGACGTCCAGCTAGGAATGGGAATGGACATGTATAGCCCGAAGTCGAAGCCCGGTGGTGAGAAGGATGTTCCTCCCCAGCTGGGTGTTTATACCCCCGAGTTTTATCTTCCGGAGTTAAATACACCGGGGAGTGGGATAGGGACGCCGAGGAGCGAGGTTGTGGATTATGATGTTACGCCGTTGGAGAAGGAGCTCGAGATGAGCTTTGGGGAGAATAGGAGGGCTTTTCCTTTTCCGACGAGGTGAGGAGATGAGCTCAAACTGGAGTCCCGCGCACTGTGGTATACTGCGTCTTCTCACCCTTTCTGATGACGATCGCGAGTCGTCCATGTATATATAGAAAGCGCGTTTGGTTTTTGCATATGCGACCCTCGAAGATAAGGGGGGCTCATTCGGCGTTTTTCTTGTTCTTCTTATTCCTTTCTGTTCTGTTCTGAACAGCATGCAACAATATGATGGCGGCGAGGGAATATGCATATCAAAGTTGGATAACGGTTAGGAGTTGGGAGGGGGTTCTGTGATACCATAGATAAGCGAATAAACAAAGATGTTCGAGGATTTTTTTGTTACTTTCAGTTGACTACTTGGGTAGTAAACTTGGGGGAGTAAATGCAGTGAACACGCGTTCTCGATCGTGAGCTGAAATGCACACCTGCAGTACCCCACATGCCACCCCCACTAAACAAGCTCACACGTCCGAGCTTCAGCCGAAAACGTAGGCTGACATCACCTCCCAAGTGCTTCTTTCCGTCGCGACCACGGCACCTTTCCCCATTCTACAGAACCGTCCAATCCGATTCAACGAACTACATCAATAATCACATTCATCTCCGGCGTTCGCAATTGACCAGAAGGCCTGTCTTTTATACCTCTCTCAGATGATTACTTGAGGTTGTGGATATTGTGGATTCACGTGCACACGCAATCGCCATCATGGTGCGACAACATGGTAGTTTGACAAAGGACGACGAGACGAATCAGGCGGCTTGGGAGGCGGCGAAGGGGGCGTTGGTTGGAGGGACGAAGGTATGTTTTTCTTCTTTTTACGCGTTGCTGTTAGTTGTCCGCATATGACAACTATTGTTGGAAAGATTGGGGTGCTGCATGGGGAAGAGAAGGAAGGGGAGTCGCATGCGTCAATCAACTATGCATGCCGAGATATGTCTTTGGTCGAGTGGTGGGGTTTGGTATGAAGGACGGTTGGGTTGTGGGATCTATGAGGAGATGGTGGGATGAGAATGGATTAGGGATTTTGATCAGGCACCGGGGATGGGTCGCAGGTATGATGGCTGACTTTGAATTACAGTGGGGTGCTTTCTTCGCCGTAGCAGGCGGTGTTGCATATGCCTTTTCGCCTGTATACAAGGGTCTTACTGTTCAGTTCAAGACGTATGTTTCTTCCGTCGCTTCCTTCCCTCTTTCATTCTATCCCATCTCAGCCCTCCCCAGATGATCCCCCACCAACTACCCTACTAACCTACTTAGTTACATACAAATGTCAGGCATGATTCTCGGCGGGTACCTGGAAGCCGACAAGCGCATGATCAATTATCAACACCGCGTCAGACACCACAAGCGGGTTGCTAGGGATATGGAGATCTGGAGGCGGTACGAGGATTCTTATGAGGAGAGGGGGACGCCGGGGGTGGGGGCTGAGAGTGATGTGCATGGACCGAATGGGAAGAGGAATTGAGGTGCGGGATGATTGGGCGAATCTGCCGGGATGAAGGTTTGGTGTTTGTGCGGGTGAGAATGGCAAACAAGTATTTCTGCTTCTCGCTATATGAATCATGCTTCTCCACCTTTCTCTCTGCCACACTCAACATCCGCCCTGTATCCCAACTACACACACATACACCTAGAATGCCTACCGACTTCCAACCCCTGCTCAATATCTCCGACGATACTTACCCCCGTACAGCGGGCACGTGGGGTTTCTCAGGCACAATCACGCATCAGTATGCACTTCGCAAGAGATGGATACTGCTCCGCTTTGAGCAAGTAACAGAGTTCGCGTGTAGCCTATGCAAGCAGCAGAAGCAGGCCCATCTCGTAGCTGTAAAGGGTGTGCTGTGGGATGATATCGCTCTCAGGTCCTGTCAGGCGTGTTTTGACGAGCGGAATGCCGCACTTCTTCGTGACATGGATCTGGAACAATGTACTGCGAGATTGCATTGCTGATTTGGGCTTGTAAAGTAATAATGGAAAGACAATCATAGCTGTGTTTCTAGAAGGCGTGGTGTTCCTGCAGCCAGAGCTCCGGCAGCCAATAACGTGATAGAGCGCGAAAGGGCATAGCGCCCCCACCCACGCCGCGGCCTTTTAAGCCACCTTGCGAATTCGCTTGCTCCTCTTTCTCCAGGCAGCACCAGCTGGTCCTCGTTCACGACTTCACGACTTCACGTATACACGGCTATAGCTACACGTAACGATGGATGTCTTTTGGACGCTCCCGCCCGTCTCTAGGTAAGCTTCTCTCTTCCAAGGAGCTCGACAATTTCAGCTCGCAGCTCTCACCTCACTCCCAGCTACGCGCAAACAATACGTCGCACAATCGCTGACAATCCCTCACAGGACCATCACAGCTGCAGCAGTCGTTGTATCGGCCGCAGGCTACAGCGGACTTCTCAGTCTCTATCACTACATCTTCGTCAGCCAATATGTCTTCACGGTGTCGATGCTCCCGCAGCTCTGGCGACTCTTCACAGCGTTTCTAATTACGAAACCGAAGTTCGGCATCCTGCTAGACCCCTACTTTCTATACCAGTACGGCAGCTCCATCGAGCGGGAGTCGCCTCGCTTCAAGGATCCAGGCGACTTCTTCGTGTACACTTTGTTCCTCGGTAGCGTCATTGTCGTAAGTACCCACTGCACACACGCGTACATAGCTTCCATCGCATCGACACAACTGTCTGCGACGTCTCGACTTCGGTCAAAATCACCTCCGCATATCTGCCCGCCCAGCCTGTTATTCCTAGCTGAAGCGGTTCCTGGAACGGAGGAAGAATACCCTTGCACATCATGCGGTTCCGTCATTCGCAATCATATAAAGGGACTTGTGTGGTGTGTAGGCATGGTGGGATTGTCACTTGAGAAAGCTTTGCGAATGCTCTCCATTTCGCAAGGCGGTGTTGGCTCCCTACATACTTTCGCGATTCGTTTCGCTTTGTTCACCTGCATCTTCTCGTCTTGATATCGGTGTGCTGTGGATGGACTTGTGCTAACAGTCCGCGCAAAGGCAACAGCAGGTGGCATCCTAAACCAGTACACCTTCCTCCCGTCGCTGTCCCTCGCCTACGCATACACGTTCGCCCAAGATAATCCTACCCGCTCCGTATCCTTCTTCGTCATTACCTTCGAAAGCAAATACCTGCCCTTTGCTATGCTCTTCATGGCCTTCTTCATGGACGGTCCTGATGCCGCTCTCGGACAGCTCATGGGCCTCCTCGCCGCACACTTGTACGACTTCCTGACAAGGATCTGGCCTACGTTTGGCGGTGGCAAAAACTATATTCGCACACCTGAGATGGTGAAGCGCTGGTTCGGTGCTGCGCCGGGCAGCGTGCAGAACAGAGGATATGGGCATGTTGTGCAGGGACGGGGAGGTGCTGCGCAGCCTAGCGCGGCGAGGGCGACAGGCAATGCTTGGGGTGGAATGGGTCCTGGGAGGAGGCTGGGGGAATAGACGTATGCGGCTGGAAATGTCGCGTGCGTTTACACATTGAGGCTGGGTATTGTGGGTCTTGGAGCTTTGACACTTGATTGCACTGTCTTGATAGACGAGGTGGTCTACACACCTTCACAATTTCTTCCTGTCGATCCAACTATTTCTTGATTCGCTGACTTGGTTTGGAAATCTGCAACGACGCTGCAAACTATCTCAGCGAATCAGGAAATCGCTGGATCGGCGGGGAAGAAGCTTTGGCACTTGACTGTATTGTCTTGATGGACTAGGTTTATACACCTGTACAACTTGTTTCCTGCCACGCCAGGTAGTTCCGGGCGATCAGTGTCCATTTCCAACGATTCGTTCAAATAGGTCAGAATCACCTGGACTGGGAGGAAACACGTGGTGCGACCATCATGACAGTATTCAATGATTTCATCCAATGCCTCTTGGCTATAATACAATTCCTCTCCTCTACATGTCATGAAGTTGATTTACTTTGAGCTTCCAGCAGGATTGCTCGGTCCATCAACAGCCCTCTCGACGTGCCCTGCGATGCCATTCTTGCTCGCGTCGAACTGGCTCCCAATCACGCCGTCCTTGCTGAATGGGCCACCGACTTTCTCGCCGATTTGGCCGATTGCGCCGTCGGGGTTGACTATTGTCCCAAATATTAGTATGTCGGGTTCAAAGGTGGTTGTGGTATGGCTAGAAGGAACTACTCACAATTCTTTCCAATAGCACCCGCGCTGCTAATCACACTGGGGTTCGACTGGGGAATCGCATCGGTATCCTTATTTGCTCCGAGCTTGTCAGCTGCGGCGGTGGTGTTATCGGTCATGTTTCCGGACATGTTGGGTGTGGATTGGTTTGCTGTGCCGAGGCCGAGTTGTTCTTGGAGGGGACCGGTGGATTTGGGCATTTAGCTGATTTGAAGAGTTATGTTGATGAGAAATCACATATAGCAAAGGGTAGGGTGTCTTATATGGATGGCGATGGTGGTCATGCATGGAGAGTACGTCACGAAGGGTAAGTGAGGGTAGGTGGTGATGGTGACGATGGTGATGTCATGATGATATGGAAGTGGTGGGAGCGCAATTGCAGAAAATGCGCATTCGGATAAAGTCGATGATGTAGCTAGTGAGTAGCTTCCGTGGATCTCGATTCTACCTTTCGCATGCCAGAAAGTGGGGTGGAGATCTGGTGGTCGTGGTTGTGATTTGCTACTTGGGCCGACTATGGCGTTATGCAGCTGTCATGTACCTCCACGCGTGATCTACATGGAAAGGTACCCGCACGGTTGGACATGGACGTAATGGGTTTGGGGAGGGGGAATGTGATTTCATAGATGCTTGCTGGTATCATTGCTGGTTTGGTGCCGAGGACTACGGTATGGATCTAGGCGGTAATTACATGCGCGTCATGGCTAGGTGCGTCTCTTCGCTCGTGCTCCGCCTACTTTGGGGAATGACAATGGGAGCTTGAGCTTTGCGATGAAGTGGTTGGCTGTTTCGGCTTTGGTGAGCTTCATGCGTGTGAGGTCGGTTTGGGTTGGTGCGTTGAGCTTGCATCCGAGTTCGGCGAAGTATTGCTTGATTCTGTTTGGCGTTAGCATGGGTCAGGTCAAGTGGTTCTTGGGGAACGGACTCTTTGTTCTCGAGCTTTAGATCTTCTCGCAGGTCGTTCACGTCGACTTCGTAGTCGTCGACTGTGAGTGCTGCCGCTGCGATATGTGTCATGAGGTTATCGACGTGCCAGCGAGACATCTCAAAAGAACTGCACAGGTTAGCAAGTCTTCATGGAACAACGACTGATATGACTTACCCCTCGGGGGCAAACTTTCTCCTGATGGCCATGAGTTGACCCGCAGGCGTATCCTCACCCATCGCTTCCTCCAACTTCCCCTTCATGGGAATCTTCTTCGGCCGAGGTCCACCTCCTCCAATCAACGCAGAGTTAAAGTTGATGCAAAGCAGTATGAACCGTAGAGCCTTCAACTTCTGTATCTGTTTGTTCTTGGCGAGCTTTACGATGCGCTTAGCAACGTATTTGCTGGCCACGCTGACTCCTTCGCCGACTGATGATTTTTGAACCCAGTCCTGGACATCCAGCATGGTCATGAGATCGCTTCCAATCACAACGTCCGTAGGGTAAACATCGGCTGGGTATTCGGCTGCAAGGTTGGGTGTCGGTCGAGGCTTGGAGCTGTCCACGGCGGCTGCGAGATCGTCCTTGTTCGGCATGACAGCCGTCGCGGATGCCATTTGCTGCAGAACGTTTTCGGCAACTGCGTCGGTTCTTGCTGCGTCCTCGGCACCAGTTCCGCTCTTGATGGCGTTGAGCGTCCGGTCTTCAAGCGCCTTCCTCGACTTCTTGGATCCGAACTCTGCTGCGAGCGCGGCTCTCTTTGCCATGACAGTGTTTTGTGCCGCATCCAACGCCTCTTGCTCTTCGCGCATTTCTTGTGCTTCGCTTCGCAGTGTGCTTCGTACGACAACTCTCTTGACTGGGACGATTTGTAGCTTGCTTGTCGCAGGGTCGAATACGCCAATGTAGTCTTGTAGCTGGCTCTCGGCGCTTCCATCATGCTCTTCCTGTGCGATGTAATCTAAACGAGGGTGGCCGGATGATTGGAACAGCATTTCGGTTTCCTCGCCTTGTGGTCGGATCTTGGTGCGCTTGTACGGGTTGAAGGATATCTTCGATGGGATGGTGAGACCGGGTGTGACAGCTTAAGCGCGTTAGAAAACATGATTGCGCGATATGCCAAGGTCTTCTGTCATTTGCGATGGGTATTGATGCCATGCGACAGCCTAGAGAGTTGCCATCATACCTAGAAGCGGACCCAGAGTCTCTTTATTCTCTACCATCTTGACGCGGACATTTCCCGTAGGCGCAACGGCCGTCTTCTTCTTCGGCCGTTCGCCATTCTGCTCCTGTCTCTTTCTCTTCTTTTCACTCATGTCGGCGTTGCGGTTCCGATATGGCAGCATGGGTCGCGTTGTGTCAAAAAGTTCGATGGCGAATTGGCAGAACTTTGGGCGGTCAGCTAGCAGCCATAGCCGAGCGACCGGGGTGGCAGCCACGCCAAGCCCGAACCGTCTTAGCGCGTCCGCGATGACGTCCACGCGACGGACGCGTTCCAGACTTCCGCATCTGCATCGCAAGTGCGGCCACGGCACACACGGAGCTTCCCTCTATTGAATCCATTGTATCTAGCCAATGCAGTCGCCCTGAGACAGTAAACAATCAAACTTCATCTCCACCCTTCGTCCTCCATCACCCATCATCACCATCCATTGATTCATTAACCACTGTACTGCTACCAAGCGCACCTATTTCACCAACCTCACCATGCCCACCGTCCTTCAGACAGCTGGCGACATGGTCGACAACCTTGGAAACAAGATCCATTACACCACGCGAAGAGTCGGCGACCAGATCGAGACCACCACCAACCAGGTGCTACCACCCAAGCAGCGCGAGCACATGCTTGAGAGAGCCCGAGACTACGCCCATCAGAACCCCAAAGTAGCCGTAAGTTGTTCGATAGCATCTGAAGACTCCCATCAATGACACCATACAGGCCTTCCTGACCACCCAAACCGCCTTGACCGGTCTCCCGCTAGCCCTCTTCCTCGCCTTCGCAACAACCACCCTCCTCGTCTCCCTATCAACCTGCCTCTTCCTCGGCCTCCTCGTCTCAATCGCCATCACCTTCTTCCTCGTCGGCTTCGCGCTCCTCTTCGTCGTCCCCACCGTCATTATCGCCAGCTGCTCAGCGACCTTCATCTTCATCTGGGGCTTCGTGGGCTACATCATCCTACGCAGGTTCAATGATGGTGAGGAGCTTCAGCGTGGCACACCCGTTGGCGATAAGTTGTACAAGTTAACAGGCGGTAGATCGGGATATCTACAAAGCGATCAGACATCTTCGGAGAGCAGCAGTGACCGAAGGAGGTTGGGTGGTGGAAATGCTGCGAACGGCTCTAATGGCGGTGCTGGGCACGCACATGGTGGTGTATCGTCGCACAAGGGCGATGGCGGGCCTGTGAATGGCGTGAATGGTACTCAGGGCGCTGTTGAGTGGGAGAGGAAGTGGGCGGATGGCGTGCAGCCGAAGCCTGTGGTCCTTGAAACCGAGAATGTCTTTGAGGTCTTGAAAGCGGTAAGCAAACACTCGGACCCTCAGCAGTGCTTTACTAATTACGTCAACAGGAGGCTCCAGTTTCCTAGAAGCGTGCCTGGGACTCGAGCTCGGGATGCCGGTCTTGACGTATCATTATTCCTACAGCACGTCCTCACATAATTGCGCTGCCCTAAATATACCGACTCACACCTGCTGTGAACTTCCGATTCTCATGGCATGTTGTGTATGCTACTTTGCTGGCAACGTCTCCGGCATTTTTTCATGAAATATGACATCACGTGCAGCTCTGGTCTTCTAGTGTCTATATAAGCCTGTTTCCAACCCGCTTCTTCTCTCCATCAACTTTGCTACTTTTCTGCCTTCTCAAAATGGACTGGAAACAGGTCCATGTCCTGTGCTGGACTTCCGAAAACACCCCCACGCTTACGGCATGACTGTCTGCCCAAAAGACCCACCACGTGACATGGAAAATCGTTCATCCTTGTACTTCGTTTCATCACCACATAATTCCCTGTCTTTTCCAAAACTCGCAGACACTGTGTTTATGTGCTGAGTGCACGCCCGACTCCAAAAATTCCACCAAAACTCATCAACCGGATTCGCATGTGCCGTGTTCTTCAACCCACAAAAAACTACTAGCCCAGCAAATGTGTGTCTCCTCGCTGTGAGCAAAAGAAAATGCAAGAAAGTACATGTCTTCGAGCAACCAAAACGAAGCAGGACAAGAAGAGAAGAATGGCGTTGCTGGCCTACATTGGCGCCTTGGTCGTATTCAACCTCTTTTGCGACAAAAAAAAGACGGAAAACTTCACATGTCGTGCACGGTCCTGGGTACTCGCTCGGCCCATCGAAACACATTGTGTGGGTT